ATCACAATAAAAAACATTATAATGACATGTGGTAATGGATGTTAACTAAACTTATCATGATGATCTATCAAACATACACCTATCAAATCATTATGTTGTACATCTAAAATTAACACAGCATTAAATGTTATTTATATTTCCATTAAAAAGAAATATTACTACAGACATTATTTAGAGATGCTGTAATTTTTAAAATCTAATTCACACTTATCACTAATGAAAGGTATTCATTCATTCACTCACTCACTCAACAAATTATACTATATCTGCAGAATACAAACTAGTTTCAGGGGGTTAGGAAAGAAGGGAGTGACATTTAATCCAAGTTCTAAGGGATAAATAGAAATTCAGTAGCTAGGGGGAGACTTCTGGTCTAGGTCCAGGAACTTACACAGTCAAAGGTCCTGAAGTAAAAACACGGTAAAGTCTGCAAGTTTGAATTTCATCCTGAGGAAAAGGAGGGCCAGGGTCTAAAACTGGCAAGCGAGAGATTATGCTGGCATTTCCCTGGTGACTCAGAGAATAAAGAATCTGCTTGCAATGCAGGAGTCCCAGGTTTGATCCCTTGGTCGGGAAGATTCCCTGGAGAATGGATTGGCTACCCACTCCAATACTCTTGCCTGGAGAATTCCATGGACAGAGGAGCCTGGCGGGCTGCAGTCCATGAGGTCGCAGAGAGTCCACTTCACAAAGACACAACTGAGCAACTAACACTTTCCCTAGAAAAAAAATAATCACTCTGGTTCCTGTGTAGAAAATAGAAGCTGGCAAGAGATTAAAGACTGCAGCTAACCTTGGAAAAGAGATCATGGTAACATGCACAAGAGTGGTAGAGAAGCTAGAGAGAAGTGAGCCAATGCAGACCTTCAGGTGGTAGAATAAGCAGAACACGGTGGTGAATGGGATGTGGGGTCAAGAAGAATGTAAATCAGAGATGATGACACCATGGCACCTGGGACTGCTAAGTGGTTGGTGAGATTATTTACTAATGTTCAAAAACACAGAGTAAAGCAGGTTTGGGGGAAGATAATGCACTCAGGTATAGATACACAAGATCTGAGACACAAAGTGAGGTGCCCATGAGATGTGGGTCTGGTGCTCAGGAGAAAGGAAGAGGCCTGAGATGGAGTCCTGAGAAAAATTAACACAGAGATGTCAATTGAAGCCGTGGGAGTAGAGGGGATCATTCCATGAGCAAACATAAAGTGAGATAAGAAAAGCTCAAGCCTGCAGAACACTGTAGAAATCTAAAGTTAAACATGATCAAATAATTTTAACCTTTATACAGTATTCCCTTTTTGTTCACAATTAGACATGAAGCCAACTTCTCTACAGGGCACCCAGTGCATATCCTAGCAGCCTGAAGCCCAGTCTGGCTTTCTTCATTATCATCATTTTGGGTTTGACAACTCATTAAATCACCCTGCTAAGTGCTCACTAATGTGGGATTCAACAAAACTGAATCAAATCATTCTACAACTAAACATCAAATGCAAACTCAAAAATATAATTCACATTTTTAAAGAGCTCTATAATTACCAACATAAAATAGAGCCTCTTCCTGCTAATATAGTACTTTTAAAAAGTAGATAAACTGCAGCTTGATGTGGTGCCTAGCTGCTTATTTTGCTCAGCACTTAATTCAATTAGAAATGTACATATTGTGAATCAAATTAAATCCATCAGAGATGAAGTAATAATTGGTGAACCTGTCTGAAACTGGTTTATTTGCTATCAATATTACAAATTATGAGAATTTTTGTAAGAAAACTTAGCCTGCTCCTCCTCTTTGACTCATAACCATCAGTGATATTCTGATTATGCCAATATAGATATAAAACTGGATCCCATATATAAGCCACAACCCATCTATTACAATATCTGACACCCCATAACAGAGTCTACACAGCAGAATATAAACATTTCTGTGCATAGCAGTAAATCTGTACATATGTGTATACTACGTATGAAACACATACTAACAGTTTTAGTATATATTCTCCACTCACAAAACAAAGAGATTACCTCTGAAAAACAGAAGTAGGAATGGGGGAAGAACACTGGAGGAAGACTTTTTACTCTGTATTAATCTATAATATGCTAACTTTTATAATGCAAATGCATCCTGGTTTCACTTATGTTTAAAAATGAGGTGTGAAAACTGATGCCACTGATACCTTTCTTATGGACTCAGGGGACATTACACCCAGTAACATCTCAGCCTCCTGTGGACAACTCAATGATGCAATGGCCCCACACATCAAATACTAAGCTGGTGAACAAAAGTTATGTCCCCCTTGGGTAAACGTATTATAGATTTTATGTTATGAATTCACATCTTCTCTATCAATTTCCATTCCAAGTGCTCTTGTTCATTACAGTTCATAGTGCAGTTTGTCAGTTTAATTTTGTGCTCCTTTGTAGGTATCCACAATAATTACAGTGTTTAATGCTGTACCTTAAGGGTGAGTTTAACAGAGCAGTTTAAATGCATATGTTCCGGCCATCCTCTGACTCTCACGCCAGCTTTGGGCGCACACTCCATCCCCCACCCCTCACACACACAAACATATGCACTAACTGTGTTGTAGATGGTATCTTTCATCTTACTCGCTATTTTCCCATTACCTTCTACAGTATCTGACGATGACATTATTATTAATGCTACAGTAAACAGCTAATATATGTGGTAAAAATACACGCACTATAATGAATCAAAATGACAAACTTACCCACCAGACTTCCTCTACTCATTCTAATCAGATAATGGGTTTTGCTTTTTTGTTTCTTGAGTGTACTATAAAAGGAGGGAGTAGCACTGGGGAAAACATTCATAAAAACAAGGGAAAATAAAAGTAAATGTTCACGTCATTGAGAACAGAAAGGAAGCTTATCAAGAAAATCTGTATCAGGTAACATGATAATTCATTTGTTCTATATGGAGTCTTCTTAACTTGAAATTCCCTGAAACATGGAGCTCAGTTTCACATGAATAAAATATCTAAACCATCACCATGGACAGTCTTTCTACAATTTATCTTGCAGAAAAGGGGTGGGTTTGTTTTCATATTTTGCTTTTTGTTGCTATTATTGCTGATGATCTTATACAACTCTAGCATCTTAAAAATTCTGATAGAATTTTTGGTTTACAAAATGAGGTATAGCACATTCAATTGATTTTCATGTTCCTTATTTTTATTAGGAAAATGTTATTTCTAACCTATTTCTTGTATTTTTTTTTTTTGTTTGCATTCCTTGGGGATGTACTCATAAGGATGTACATCCTTATTAAAAATAAAATAAAGGTCAGGGATAAAAAGGAGATTACAACAGAAAATGGAAAGCTACAGCTAATCAGAATGTTAGAGCAAGAATGAAATTCAGGGTTAGAAGAGACATTAAGAGTTTGGATTCTGACTACCTGGATTCATTTAACAAACTGCAAAGCCTACAAACTATAGAACGTTTGGCAGACTGCTTGCTATTCTACACCTCAGTTTCCTTAACAGTAAAATAAGCATAATAATAACAGTTAGTCCTTTGAAGATTCTTGTTAAGAATAAATAGAATACAATAGGGCATGGCATATAGTAGATGTCTAATACATAGGAGCTCTTATTAGTAGTATAAAACAGGAAACTAAGGCCCAGAGAGATTAAGTGTTTCCTCTGAGATAATTTAATTGGACTGATGGCAGAATATTATTAAAATGGGTCCTCTAATTTTTTTATGTTTCAGTTTCTTTTCCATTTAGAACTCTCTATTTGTAGTCTGGAGAAATTACTTTCAAAGGAAAAAGTGATATAGCAAAAATCCTTCAGATAAGCACATGTACACACACACATACACACACACACACCAAAATAAGAAGCAAAATGTATGGATGGAAGGTGGGTGACAAGTGACACAAACACAAAACCTCCAATTAAGACTTTTTATTATGACACAATTCATTAGAGCATAATTAAATTTCTTTATTAAATGATTAATCATAAGGTTAGAAGAAAAGGTCGTGTTGAATGTTAATTATACATCTTTTAAAGAATTTCAAAGATGTGAACAGCAGTACTCTCACAGACTGTCAGTTGTTGCAAATTAAAGGCACTAGGCATTATCTTTAAAAATACAAACTACATATATCCTTTTACTAATCAATATAATGTGGAAGAATCTGTCCTACAATTAATTTGCACAAGTGTGCAAAAATGTGCACAAAAGGACGTTTATTGGTGTACTACTGGCAATATCAAATAATGGGGGAAAAAATCATACATTCATTAGTGGGGAAATTATGATTGTGGCACATTCATGTAATAGAGTAAACAAAATGACAACAAAAGTTGCTCTAGATAGATTATTAAATGAAAAGACAAATCAAAGTATACAAGAATCTGTGCCAGAATAACCTGTATCTGCTTTTTAAAACAAAAGATAAAGATACATGAATGTGTTTGCACAAAAAATGCTTCAAAGTTACACAAGAAACTTAACAGTGGTTAGCTCTGGTAAATGGGATTAAGGTCAAGAAGACAAGAAGATGGAGAGGAGTGAACACTTAACTTTTCTTCAGTGACATACGAGCTTCCCAGACGGCTCAGCTGGTAAAGCACCTTCCTGCCAGTGCAGGAGATGCAAGAGACGCAGGTTTGATCCCTGCATCAGAAAGATCCAGGGAAGATCCCTGGGTTGGGAGAAAGACATGGCAACCTGCTCCAGTATTCTTGCCTGGAAAATTCCATGGACAGAGGAGCCTGGTGGGCTATAATTCACGAGGTCACAAAGAGTCAGACACATATATATACACACATATACATGTATATATTTATATACTATGTAGAGTTTATATATTATATATATATAATTTTTTCATATATGTATATGATTTTTAAGTTGAAAGAAAACAATGTTACAAGAAATAAAAGATTATGAAGAAACAGTTCAACAGGCATAACGGAGAACAAATTTAAGAGTAGAGAACTTATGTATAGCAGAATCCTTACCTGACACTTAGCACTACAGTATTTGGCGATTCGGCATTGAGAGCATCGCATCAGCTTTTCCTTCCTGTTAAAAGAATAAAAATAAAGTTAAAAAATAAAGTTCACATTAGGAAATGAATGAAAATCATATATGGCTGAAGAAAGAAAGAAAATGTAAGTCATCATGCTGACACCAAGATGTTCCACTCACTCCATCTGTATAGTCCATGAGACTTAGATTTTCACAGTGATGAACTTCTTCTTTCAGTGTGAGACTAGTGACTTTTTAAAAAAAAAAACTAGTGTTCTTTTTTAAAAATTGTGGTAAAATATATGTAACATAAAATGTGCCACTTTACCTATTTTTAAGTGCATAGTTTTAGTGGCATTAAGAACATTCACATTGTTGTATAACAATCTCCACCACTAAAGTTCTTTTTAACATAAATTTAATGAAAATACAGAGATTCCCACTTAGGCAAAAAAATCACTTTAAGAGAGTTTTTAATCTCTGCATACAAAATTCAGAATCCAGTCTATCAACTAACTCAAAGTATCCTATGCCTTTCAAATATAAAAACTGCCCAAGTTTAAATTTATCATGTAGGTTAATTGTAATATACTCTTTCTAGGAAATGATTTTTAATTTCCATTAAATTCAGTTACTACTTTAAACATGCTAAATTGAGATACACCAAAGTTATGTCCCCCTAGGTCGCCTGAGGAATAAAAAAGTCAAAACAAAGAAATACTTTATTATAAAATGAAACAATAAATTTGATGATGAGACTCATAGTGACAAATAATAGACAGGACTCTGCATGCATGCTAAGTCACTTCAGTCATGTCTGACTCTTCACAGCCCTATGGACTGTAGCCCGCCAAGCTCCTCTGCCCATGGGATTCTTCAGGCAAGAATACTGGGATGGGTTGCCATTTCCTTCTCCAGAGGATCTTCCCAACCCAGGATCAAACCCCTGCCTCCTGCAGCTCCTGCACTGACAGCAGATTCTTTACCACTAAGCCACCAGGGAAGCCCACATTATAAAATAAAAACAATAAATCTGATGATGCAATTCACAGTGATAAATAACAGACAGGACTACAGATACTTCCAAGGTGGCCAAGAGCATTGAAAGTCAAACTATAATACTAATATCAGTAATGAAATAAGAAGAAATCTTTCTAAGCACTTCTGATGTGCCAGTATGGTTCAAACTTCTTTATATCTATTGACTCACTTCAGACAATTCTGTAAGTAAACAGTTTTATTATGCTCATTTAAGAGATACTTCAATACATTTTCAAGAGATAAGAAGTAGATGACTAAAAAAAAAAAGAAAAAAAAGAAGTAGATGACTAAGGAAACACACCATAAAGTGCGATGCAGTAGGTGACACTGAAAGGGTAAGAACAAAAACCACAGAGAATCAAAACATGAATATATCAGGTACCTCACTCACAGGAGAACAGAGTGAGATAGGAGCATATAACACCGGGAGAGGTTAAAGGTCTAAATAAAGCAAAGTCAAAACACCTCCTTCCCCCAAGTGTAGATTTACAGCTGTCAGATATCAACATCCCAAACAACAACCCAAATCCAAACAATACGGCCTTAAAGTCCTTGTTTTTAATGACCATACTCCACTACCACTATTAGACAAAACTGGATCAAAGCAAAATCCACCCATGGGCAATTGATGAGACATGCTTCAAATAAAAGAACACACAAATTTGGGATGAGAAGAATATGATGGGCAAATAGTAACATTAATATTAAAATTTAATTAATACTAATAGAAAAAAGCCTATGTCACTATATCAGTATCAGGAAAAAAAAAAGATGTTAAGGCTAAAAATATTACTAGAGATGAATAAGTCAATACACAAAGATTAAGAGATTCCAACCACCAGGTAATAGTACCCAGCAAAAAGTGTACCCAGTCTAAAAATATGTAAAGTAAAAGTATTAGATCTAAGATAAAAATGAGGAATACATAATAAATTAGTACAAGTAAAGCCTTTAAAATAGTACCTGGAATATACTAAGTACCATACCAGTATATCACCATAACTGTTATCACTATAACAAGTCTTTTTCAGGAAGTCATAGATCAAGCAGATAAAGAAGGAGGAGCTCTACAATTTATTTGATTTCATGTAACACACAGACCCTTGCACCTTTTATATGCATGTGTATTCACACACTCTCCTCAGGCACTCACTGGCCTTTTACAACATATGCCCACATACTAGGCCACAGAGCAAATCTCAAAAATTACAAAGAATCAATAATATATATATGTATATATATATATATAACTTTCTCCAACAATAAAAGAATTAGATTAGAAATCAGCATCAAAAATCAAGCCAGTAAAATCTCATATTTATGGAAATTTAAAAGCTTACCTCTATATAATTCAACAATCAAAGAAGAATTGTCATGAAAACTAGAAAATAGATTACATAATTTTAAAAAAAACTCAAAATGTAATCTAAAGCAATACTAAAAGGAACATTTATAGCTTTAAACGCTTACATTGATTGCAGTGGTATAACTTTTTAATCTCTTTAACGCTCCTCATTAAAAAAAAAAAAAAAAAAGACAGAGTAAGTAGGAAATAGGAAAAGCTAACCATCACTCCCCAACCTGGAAAGGTACAACAAAACCAAAAATATTATCAGAAAAAAAACACTACAGGCTTCAAGAATTGATTAAATCAGTATATTTGTGGGAGAAAACAAAGGCAACTTCTAACAGACTTGAAAACAGAAGAAGTTCCAAAGTGCCAAAAGATATCCAGCAGAAAGTCTGTCAAGCCAATTGGAGAACTGCCACCAAAATTGGGAGAGAATGCTTTCTGCAAGAACACTCCTAAGGACAAGGTCCCTGGGGCGCTTCTGAATCCTGCCTTTCCTTAGACCTGGCTCCTCAGATTTTTCCTCGTTTCCTTTTTTCTTGTCTAAGTTGTTCAGAGGTTATTTCTGCTGCCTGCAAATAAAGATCCCCAACTATATAAAATGTTTCATCTCAATTTTTAAAAATAACAAGCAGAATCAAAACACCCAGGAAGGTCAGTGGTGAACCTGGTAGCAGGTATTAAAGTCTCACCTCCCCTCTCCATAGCTTTCAACCACAGACTTTTATGAATTTTAGCACAGACAAAATGAATAGCAGGATGATTCCAAGTACTTGGATAATTTAGTTGCCATTTGATGCATAAAGAAAAATTCTTTAATATGAGTTATTTAAATGTTTCGGGTTATTTTTACACATCATATAACTATATAAATAAACTTAACTTCTCAAGTTTCAAAAAAAATAAAAAACAAAAACAAACAGTCAACTGAATCCAAGAGAAAAGTTGTCTTTGATAGAGGAACCACTGAGCCTTTGAAGAGTTACTGTTTTTCTCTGTTGGGTAAGGTTCAGAGTAATAGCATACTAGTAAGGTTTCCCTACAGAGAAAAAACCTGGGCAGCAGAGGGAGAGAAAAATAAGTGTTAGAAACACAGCCACCAGACAGCTTAAGAAAACATTCTCTTTCTCTTAAAAATCAACATATCATTTCTAATTGAAAAATTCATATTTTTCTTTAAAAAATCAGAAATGTACAGGTCAAATAAAAAGCAGAATTAATTAGAAGCCCCTGAATAAAAAGGTTCACCTATTTTAGGCAGTTCCAGAGGCTAAAACAAGAAATACTGAATGGAAGGTAGAGACAGGCAGATTTTGTCTAGGTAAAGATCTTTGTGGCAACAGCTCAAAATTCAAAAGAAATGCCCCCAAAACAGTGGAGTTCTCAGTCTTCTGACATGTTCAAGGAGCATCTGGTACGTACATTTACAGACATGATGTAAAGGAAATTCTAGCACTGCAAAGGAACATGAGTTAAGTTTCCTTCTAATTTCAAATTAATTGGTTTTCCTCCTCTTGTATAAGCAACAAATATAAACTAAATTTGAAGACAAAATTTGGGCATACTATAAGACCAAATATGATAATCTCAGAGGAGTACAAAAGTGAGGAAAACATCCTGTTTGCAAACTGATTTCAAGAGTGCATCTAGAACTAGAATTTCTGAATAAAAAATAATCTAAAGAAACAGGTTAGGAATGTATCAGTAACAGCAAACTGATTAATTTTTATCTATTCTTCCCCTCAAGAGACAAATAGTAGTATGCTACCTCTAAACTAGAGAAGATATATTATTGTATACTAAAATAAATGGAAGTTTTAGATCCCACTGCAAAAAAGCAAAAAGGGATCCCTTATCACTTGTTCATATAAACTCAGATATGTTATTGAACACAAAGTCAACTCAGAGAAACTTCTCAGCTTGCTCAGTGCCCCAGAGAAAGTGATTCATGGAGCATAAGTCCTCTCTTCCAAGTAAAAGTTGGCTCATAATCAGTTTCTCCAATAGCCTATGTAACTGAAGTATGGAAAAGAAATAAAAGTCTGGCAAAATTAATTGTTCTTCTAGTATACAAGTTAAAAATGTATACTGTTGACTCCTAAACAATGCAGGGTGTAGGGGTGTTGACCCTACGTGCAGGCGAAAATCTGTTTGTAAGTTAATAGTGTGGCCCATGTATCCAAGGTTCTGTATCAACAGATTCAACCAAACTCAGACCATGTAACACTGTAGAGTGTATTTAGTGAAGAAAAAAAAAAAAAACCTCTGCATATGAGTGGACCTATACAGTTTAAACCTGTGTTATTCAAGGGTCAACAAGGGTCAGCTGTATGTGGATAGAGAGGAAACCGGTGTCTCTAAGAAATGAAACAAATAAATTGGAAGACTGAGATTGACCTATATACACTACTATATAAAAAATAGATAACTAATAAGGATCTGAATTAAATTCACCCATTCTCGTCCATTTTAGTTCACTGATTCCTCATATGTCGATGTTTACTTTTGCCATCTCCTGTGTGACCATGTCCAATTTACCTTGATTCATGGACCTAACATTCCAGGTTCCTATGCAATACTGTTTGTTATAGCGTCGGATTTTACTTTCATCACCAGACACATCCACAACTGAGTGTCATTTCTGCTTTGGCCAAGCCATTTC